ACGATTTAAGGGGAAATGTCTAAATTTTTTTGTTTTCTTAGATTAAAAGAAATAATAGAAAGAGTTGAAACATGGACCTTACAAAGCCACCCCACCCCCCCCCCCCCTTTTCTACCACACACACCAACAATGCTAAGGATGCCTTAGGTTGTAGATCATGATACAAAAATATGGGGATATCAACGTAGAGCAGTCCATTATTTATTTCATTTCAAAACTGATATATTAAGCCACGGGCGTGTATCCATCCGCACTTTGTAGACGTCCCTCTTTCAAAAGATATTCTATTCTGATTTATTTTAAAGCTAATCATTAGAGAATGTTGCAACTAAAGCACAATTTTCAACTCATTAGCAATACATCTACTTTCAAAATGTTACTTTTTTTAAAAAAATCAATTATGATCTGGATATAATCAGTACGATATGTAATTTTTAAATAAGACTTGCAAAGTCAAAATAATCTTCTATCACATGTTTGCAAATTCAATCAGATTCTGTCCCCTCTACCTCCAAAATCTGGAGCTAACACAACCTCTTTATGAAAACAATCAACGGATTCGAACTCCAGACTCGCACTTCTGCGCATGCTGCATTGTTTTGGTTTCTACGCTTGTAGCCCGCCATACCCCCCTGGACCGTCTGTTGTAAACAAGCTCGCCGCCCCTGGTCCACGCCCTCTTACTATCTCCTCAACCGCTCAACACGAGGCGAGAACGAGGAGCTGTTACTGCTCCGGGCCTCCCCCATAAATATCTCCCGCTGTTACAGAATCAACAGTAATCTGGTCAGTGCTCTGCGGTGTACAGGTCAAAAGTTCTATCTAGCGTAGCGTACACGTATCTCGTTGTGCGTTTACTTATTTTATATCAACAGGAGGTAGTATAGGAAATTAATTGGACACTAACTTCTAGCGGGAACACGAGTGGCGCAGTTTGTAGAAGCAGGACAAGGAAAGGATTTGATCAGAATGTGTGAGGCAAGCGGTGTCAGGTTTGGTGATGTGGTGGACAACGCAGGGGCGCAGGCAGAGGAGGGTGTTGTTGTACCAAGGCGTGTCCTGGTCGGCATGGATGGAAGTGCCGATGCTGACCAAGCATTTGATTGTAAGTTTTTTTGTTTTTTTTTAAATTAATTATATTTTGTCATTTTTATCTGTACAAATTTTTAATTGTGCCATAGCTCAACTGTCTTGTATAATGTATGAAAAATTCTATTGGTCGCTTCCAAAAATAAGAAAATCTGGAAAATTAAGGTTAGTCAACGTCAAAGTGAAGCTAGATTTGAAGAATTCACAACGACCAGTACATTAATCTCAGTCTGATTTTTTAAAGTTAACCTCAACCTGGTAAGTTAGTCCCATACTACTGTCTGGTCAGTTAGTCCCATACAACTGTCTGGTCAGTTAGTCCCATACTACTGTCTGGTAAGTTAGTCCCATACTACTGTCTGGTGAGTTAGTCCCATACTACTGTCTGATAAGTAAGTCCCAATCTGGTGTTAAAAATGGCCACCTATCTTCTTGTTATGTTCCATTTTGATTGTAAAATGTCATGCATAGTAAATTCATAATAAATGTTTAGTTAACTCATTAAAAACAAATATAGTTAATGTGTTAGTGCGACTAGTTTCCAGGTAGTAAAAAGCTTAACTTTGGCTTAATTTACCCATATTTAATGCTTTCCCTAGGGTACATTGAAAATATATTCCTCCCCACTGATTACGTCATAATTGGCTACTGTCCGGCCGCGGGCTCAGCATTTCACTGTAAGTAAACAAAAATTAACCCCAGTTATTTATTTATTTTTTTTGTTACATGTCATTTCGTTCTCATTTAAATGTGCTTAAAGTCAAGAATTCTTTATACTAGAAACTTCTTATCATGCGCCTGTCTTTGCATTCCTTTTGTAATGTATCATAATGTGTCCTCTTACTTTATCCTCATAATATGTGTTCTCATAATGTGTCCTCATAAGATGTGTCCCTAGTATATGCTAATGGCAATAATAATTTTTGCGTTAAATTTTTGCCTATGTCATTCCATTCTCAAATAGTATCAATGGACTTCATTTTTGGCATTCAGATGAAGTTTATGATCCCAACAATTTAAGATGTTGGTTGAATGTTGAGATGAACCAGAATTTGAACCACTCATAATACCGTACTGCGTGCAATAATATATGAAAACCTTGCACTTCTTAACTCTCAGTATCCATACTACACCTAATTGTTAATACCAAAATGAAAATAATTCAGTTATTAACGTATGCAGTCATTAAATCATTCAATATTATTATTTTTTTTTTTTTATTTACGCGACCAATCTCGATGCATTATGCAAATTAATCAGGTCAAATTAAAGGAATGTAATATTGATGGCCGTCACAGCCTAATTTTTGGAACAGATCTAACAAAAAAATGAATCAGATTATTGGCATAAGTACGGTATCTATCAAAGTGTTTTAGACTTCTATAAGGATTACTTCTGAAACTATCTTTGGCCAAGGACCAGAACAATAATGGGCCAATACACCACGACCTGGTAGTTGCTGTAAACATTTAGTTTTGTACATCCCACCCCACGAGATAATGACACGTTCAATGATAAGTCGGCCATCACTGGTGGTCAGAGGGACAGTTTCAGTACTATTGCTGGCAAGCCTGTGAATGGATTTTTTAAAAAAAAAATTTGGTGGAGTGGGGGTTGATTCCTTTACTCAAACTTAATACTCAATGTTACTTTTTCTTTCATCTATTTCCACTGCCTAGCTCCCCAGGCCCTCCTAGCCTCCCAGGCCCTCCTAGCTCCCCAGGCCCTCCTAGCTCCCCAGGCCCTCCTATCTCCCCAGACCCTTCTAGCCTCCCAGGCCCTCCTAGCTCCCCAGGCCCTCCTAGCCCCCCAGACCCTTCTAGACCCCCGGGCCCTCCTAGACCCCCGGGCCCTTCTAGACCCCCCGGGCCCTCCTAGCACCATAAGTCCAACTTGAAATTACACACGACAATAACAAACATAAGTGTAACCAAATGTTACCTTGAATGGAGTAGCACGTTAGCGGCGGATTCGTAAGGCGGGTAGCAATCTGTGCAGCCCAATTTATCCAGGTCATCTTCAGCAATCATGGGGGGAAACTAAGAATATCGAACTTAAGGTAATTGGCACCTTTCACTTGTTGGTACGCCAAGATACCTGTGATTGTGACAGCATGTTGATGAAATTGGTTCTTAAAGACAATTTATAGTTTGAACTGTATCCTCCCCACCCCACCTTTTCCCTTACATCCTTGATGTCCCTCTAATGGTTAATTTCCATGCATCATTTTTAATTTTAAATCCGTGGTAAGACCCATCCATTGTCCTGGACACCACTTCCACCGTGGTGAGACCCATCCATTGTGCTGTCCGTGGACACCACTTCCACGGTGGTGAGACCAATCCATTGTGCTGTCCGTGGACACCACTTCCACCGTGGTGAGACCCATCTATTGTGCTGTCCCTAGACACCACTTCCACCGTGGTGAGACCCATCCATTGTGCTGTCCTTGGAGACCACTTCCACCGTGGTGAGACCCATCCATTGTGCTGTCCCTGGACACCACTTCCACCGTGGTGAGACCCATCCATTGTTCTGTCCCTGGACACCACTTCCAGCTGAGAGTTCGCTAAAGTTGCATAGTTGTAGTCAATAATCATGTTTTTCTACAAGCCGTCGACAAAATCTTGATAATGTAAACTTGAGTCCTATATTTATCAATGTAAGTAGGTCACCGCGCATTAATGGCGTATCAAAATGTAAACACTGGGGAAAACAGCCTCGGGGTGAAGGCCGTCTATTTATGGCATGAGCCGAGAACAGGACTTAGTTTGAATCATTCTTGTAAGGGGCTATCTATTTTTTAAAGGCATGATTTGGCGAATCAAAACAACGTGTTGATATTTCGTCATCCTGAAGTCACGTGGGTATAGATATGATTAATCTTGGCCATCAAAAGGTCAGTTGGGCAGTTGTTGATTTTTTTCTTTCTGCAAAGGATACCGCATCCTTTATGACAAATGCCCTAACTGTCCGTCTATGCCCAAAATAGCCCTGAGTGCTAGCAGCTGTTGTGTAGACCTAAAATAAATAGAAACCGAGGGGGGGGGGTTAACTAATGAAATGTCATTGACATACAGAGCGGTAGGAACTAGACTTTTGTAACAATTGTTACTTAATGTAACATGCATGCGTAGCGACCAGTTTTTGGGAACTAAATTCTGATAGTGCGAAATCTATGACTTAGTTCATTACCATGCTAGACATTTATTGCAATTTTATAATATATTTTTAAAATTTTTCCTAAATTTGTTACAGCAATTTTTGAAGTCAATATATAACAAAAATATGAAGCAAAAAAAATTGTACGTAAAGAAATATTTTTTTTTTTAAATGGGCGCTACTAAAAGCTGGACATTGCTGCGGGAACTGCAGGTTAATAGGGAGATGGGTGGTGGGAGGGGGTATCCCATCTGGCAACTCCGTTGAACAATCAAATTCGTATGGTGAAGGTGATGTTACTGTCAGACGATAACGCCATGTTCATGGCACCACATGTCTGTCGGACGTATTTCACGAATGCCTCTCTTCCTCCCACAGTTGATGGTTTCTTCTCCAACGTTAACAGTCACGTGATCGAGTTTCAGGAGAAAGTGAGCCACGTCAAGGAAGCATTGGAGAACAAGCTGAAGCAAACAGAGGTCTGTACAAACAGGGGTCTTTACAAACCGGGGTCTGTAGTCAGGCAAACAGGGTTCTGTGGTCAGGCAAAAAAGGCTCTGTACAAACAGGGGTCTGTACAAACAGGGGTCTGTACAAACAGTGGTCTGTAGTCAGACAGACAGGGGTCTGTAGTCAGACAGATAGGGGTCTGTACAAACAGGGGCCTATACTCATACCATTAGTTATGTAATGTAAGCCTAGTTCCACTCATACCATCAAAGGACTGATTCTGCAAGGGCAGACAACCAATGTGTCTAAGACTAAACATAAATCATCATTGTTATGATTATTGAACTTTGGGTTACTCAATGCATTCTCAAAATAATTTAATTTAATTCATCATTAAAATCATACCTTGTTTGCACATCAAATAATCCTGCACATATTTCACATTTCGTTATGTTGTAAGAATATGTCTAGTCGTGTCCTCATAATATTTCGTATGTGTCTCCTTTATGCCCCCCCCCCCCAGGCTCACGGCGTGGTCAAGATACTGGGAGGCACCAATGCTGGCAACTCCCTCATCAAAGAGGCGGAGAAAGAGAACGTGGAACTCATAGTGGTGGGCAGCCGAGGTCACGGCGTCCTGAGACGGACGGTTCTGGGCAGCGTGTCCGGCTACGTGGTCCACCACAGTCACGTGCCGGTCTTGGTGTACCCTCCGATGCAGAACTCCAACGTCCACCACGGCTACAACAACAACAAGGTCAACGAGCAGCAGAACAAGACCAGAGACTCGACCACCGAGGACAAACACATCTTTGTTAAGTTATAGTGATCGCATCAATTATTAGGTTACAGTTGTCACGTGACGCATCTTTGTTAGGTTGTAGTGGTCACGTGACACATCATTGTTAGGTCATAGCTGTCACGTGACATATCAATTGTAGGTGGTAGTTGTCATGTGACATCCTTGTTATGTTGTGGTTGTAATGTGACATATCATTTTTAGGTTGCAGTCGTCACGTGGCACCTGGTATATTATTGTTTACCTGTATCATGGTTGAGCTTATTGTGGTCACCTGGGTCCATTTGCTTGTGTGTTCATAAAATTTTAGAATGGCCTGTAACGGGCACTGCTCCATATGACGGGCACTGCTCCACATGACGGGCACTGCTCCACATAATGGGCACTGCTCCACATGACGGGTGCTGCTCCACATAAAGGGCACTGCTCCACATGACGGGCACTGCTCCACATAATTGGCACTGCTCCACATGACAGGCACTGCTCCACATAAAGTGCACTGCTCCACATGACGGGTGCTGCTCCACATAAAGGGCACTGCTCCACATGACTGGCACTGCTCCACATAATTGGCACTGCTCCACATGACGGGCACTGCTCCACATAAAGGGCACTACTCCACATGACTGGCACTGCTCCACATGACGGGGCAGGACATTGTGGCCCAAAGTGAATACGTCACACTGCAACATTTTGGCCCCAGGTTTCTCATTGTACGAGAGTGTACATTTGGAGACCTCTTTCTCTTTGTACACTTTAAAACTATGTGTCCTAATTGATGGAATGGAACAAACAAAGAGCATTGTTGACATGAAGTATCACTAGGTTACCAGCTTAAGAAAAGGGTAATACTGTGTTAAAAGGGTAATACTTAGTTGATACAAGAGTACTACTCAATTGATGCAAGAGTAATCCTCGGTTGATACAAGGGTAATACCCGAAACGAAATAAATCAAAATAATTCAATTTTACTTTGTCATGTGATACTTGTGTAATCATGTGATACATGTACAGTCACGTGATACATATGCAGTCACGTGATACATAAACAGTCATGTGATACATGTCTAGTCAGATTGAATGCATTGCTGTCATATTCCACACAATTTTTGTGTGTATCATTTATTTAGAGAAAGAAAAAAACCGTATTTCTATTAATGAGCATCATTATTGCAAAAGAAATTTCTTTTTGTAATGATTTTGGAATTCTTTTTTAGCTGGATGAAAACTGTGCTTCAAACTACGTCAAAAACATTTTTTGGTAAAAAAAATTCAATTTTTATGTGGTATAATTTATATTTGTATACCTCAGTATGATTTTCTCTGATGTAAAACTACAAAACAAAAAAGGCTTCTGTATGACAACATAGAACATAGCAGCAACAACCAGGGGTCTGTATGACAACATATAAAATACCAGCAATCACCAGGGGTCTGTATGACAACATAGAACATAGCAGCAACAACCAGGGGTCTGTATGACAACATAGAACATAGCATAGCAGCAACAACCAGGGGTCTGTATGACAACATAGAACATAGCAGCAATCACCAAGGGTCTGTATGACAACATAGAACATAGCAGCAACAACCATGGGTCTGTATGACAACATAGAACATAGCAGCAACTAACAGGCTTCTGTATAGAATATAGAACATACCAGCAATCACCAGGCTTCGGTTTGACAAGATAGAACAAACCAGCAATAATTGAAACATTAGATACGGACGGACTCCAAATCCTGCTATAAATATAACGTCTTTCTCTTATAAAACTATATTTCAAATGTTTGTTGAAAATACGTCATTAATGTCCAGATATGTAAAATATGTTGGCGGTAGTTTTGCATGTGGTATATCATATGATTAACGAGTCTATACTTGTACCAATGCCACGTCATCAATGGGATGTCACTGTGGCTACTAAAGAAGTAAATTATTTCTTTGGTTACCTCCCTCTATTTTATCTTATTTTTTACACTTATTCAATGCACAACTTATTATTCTTCATTAAAAATAATAATGATTTTGGTCATCCTCATTACTTTCTCCCTTCTTTCCTATTTTTGATTACTCCTTTCTTTCTGTTTCATTCCCTCTCTCTCTCTCTCTCTCTCTCTCTCTCTCTCTCTCTCTCTCTCTTCTCTCTCTCTCTCTCTCTCTACTCACTTTCAAGCCATCTGATTTTACCATCTACGTGCTATTGATGTGACCAATTATTTCCTTCTTACATTCCCTCTATTTTATGTGTGTAATCTCTATCTCTGTTTATCTATACACGCATCTCTCTCTCTATCTTCTCTCTCTCTCTCTCTCTCTCTCTATCTTCTCTCTCTCTCTCTACTCACTTTCAAGCCATCTGATTTTACCATCTACGTGCTATTGATGTGACCAATTATTTCCTTCTTACATTCCCTCTATTTTATGTGTGTAATCTCTATCTCTGTTTATCTATACACGCATCTCTCTCTCTATCTTCTCTCTCTCTCTCTATATCTCTCTTGTCTCTCAATGATATTCCCCCCCCCCCTTTTCAAACCCCACCAACCCTCATTTTTATGGAGTTGTTTATATTTCACATTAATGAATGCTATTTATACTTTACCAATAAATATGCTTTTTTCACCAAACAGATATTACTTTTTGTGTAATGTGTAAGAAAGACTTCCTTAGCCTCTCTGTGTAAGACAAGCATGGTGACAGCTACTCACTTGACGGAGGATTATTGACATTCTGGTGTGACATGAGATATCAGTTTTGTTGTGAGCCAGCTTAAGTGAAGCACTCGTCACTGAACTTGATTTCAGACTTGAAAGATGATTAGTAATATCACATTTGAAGAAATTATAAATTCTGATAAAACACCTGGACTCGATATTTTTTGAACGATTCCTAAATTATTCGCCTCGATTCCGATTCCATGACTTTGTGACGCAGATATCCGATACAATACCACGGCATTTGTAGCCCATGACACAGAAGTGGAATAAAACTCAAATATCTTTTACAATTCTGATATTACGAATTGGGGAGTTGGCGTCGAGAGTATATTGGCAATGACGTCATCGACCCGTCTGTAGGCGTGCAGCCGAGTGGTGTCCACCAGCTGGCGCTCTTTGACGGTGCGTTCTATTCTTGTCTTGCAATTGAGATCTCACATCTGATATGCACCGCATCTGCTACAGTGTTCTACCCCTGGGGGTGGTCACTTACTGCGAGTCACTTATTGAGAGTCACTTTTTGATAGTCACTTATTGATAGTCACTTATTGAGAGTCACTTTTTGATAGTCAGTTATTGATAGTCACTTATTGAGAGTCACTCTTTGATAGTCACTTATTGGTAGTCACTTATTAGTAGTCACTTATTGGTAGTTACTTATTGGTAGTCACTTATTGAGAGTCACTTTTTGATAGTCACTTATTGGTAGTCACTAATTGGTAGTAACTTATTGAGAGTCACTAGTCTCACTGATAGATTCAAATCGCACCATAAAAGACTAAGCCAAAGAATTTATGAAAAGTCCTGGCCAAGTGTTAAAAACTAACTTTAGTTTAAACACTTACAAATATCTACGACAACTTAATTTATCAAGGGTAAATTATCAATCAATCATTAAGCAACTGTCAAATGTCAAGTATCAGCCAAGTACCAAGTTTAATTCAAGTGTCCAGTATCAAGAATCGGGCGAGTATCAAGTATCAGTCAAGTGTAAAGTATCGATCAAGTGCCAAGTTTAAATCAAGTGGAGAGTATCAATCGAGTGTCAAGAACCAGACAAATATCAAGTGCCAGTTAAGTGTTAAGTAGCAGCTAAGTGTAAATTATCAGTCAAGTCGTGTAAAGTACAAGTCTGTTATAAATCCCATGGCTCTTGTTCAAAGTCACATGACTCCTAATTCAACTACATAAATAGTCTAAAGGAAATGTGTTCTTTGCTTCATAATTGGAAAGCTAAGTCCACAAGGGTGTTATCGTTATCCGGAGATGGGGGTGAACTGTTGGTTCCCACTTACGATAGAACACACTATGAATGATTCATTCAATCATCATCAAATGACTTAAGAAGAAAAGGACTTAAAATATAAAGCAAAAGGAAATGTTAAACAGAGAGTTGAAGAAGACCTGGGAAAATTTTCAAAACATCGAATGTGTCGGTGCAATGCCTTCGTCGGCAAACAAAAACACTACCGGTAATAAGAAAGAAAGAAAAATGGAAGAAAAAAAATAGATAAAAAGAAATGAGCTTAAGCTGTATCTGAAAGAGATCTTCCAATTGATATAAGTTATTTTTTTTTTTACTTTAAAAAAAGTGTATCTTTTTCTTTTATATGGGTCGGAAGGGTCACCATTGCTGGCTGATTTAATGGATGTGACAGGTTGCGTAAGTGACGTCATGGGGCATTATTGTAATAAGTGAGCTGGAAGGTCGGTTAGAAACAGTCAGAGCGTCAGATTGTCCGGTAATCTAATGAATTTATTTCCTCCCGCATTTGGTCGAACATTCCATGAAAGGCTGAGTTTAACAGTGATAATGATACTAAGGTTTAACCAAAATAATGATACTAAGGTTTACCCAACATAATGATACTAAGGTTTACCCAACATAATGATACTAAGGTTTAACCATAATAATGATACTAAGGTTTAACCATAATAATGATACTGAGATTTAACCATAATAATGATACTGAGGTTTAACCATGATAATGATACTAAGGTTTAGCAATAATAATGATACTAAGGTTTAGCAATGATAATGATATTGAGGTTTAGCAATGATAATGATATTGAGGTTTAGCAATGATAATGATACTGAGGTTTAACTATGATATTGATACTAAGGTTTAACCATAATAATGATACTGAGTTTAACCATGATAATGATTCTAATGCTTAACCATAAAGAGGATGCTAAGGTTTAACCGTGATAATTAAACTAATTTTTAACCATGATAATGATACTAAGGTTTAACGATGATATGAACATTACATAAAATTCTCGAAAGGTTTTGTGAGCCACACTAAGCTCGTCATATGACCGTTTGTGGCCCGCAGGCCGTAGTTTGTCGACCAAGGAGTTAGAGAGTCTGTGTTTGGGCTGTTGTTATCATATAGAAATACGTTTTTTAAAATCTCAAAGCCAAATAACACTCTAAAAGTGGCCTATGTTAAATCATTCAAGAAATATTTTTCACGTAGACAAACAGCAATGTGTGTGGCTAGCTGTGCATTGTATTGTCTCATAACAATTATGTATTTATTATAGTTAACAATGTGTGTGTGTGTAGGGGGGGGGGGGGGGGCGGGGGGGGGGGGCGGGGGTGTGGGTCTTAACAAAACAAATGTCCCATCGTTTCCAGGTCGATCCAGGCAGCCATGAACTCAGAGGTCTGGCTGAGAACAAAGTCCACCTTATTTGTTGCTTTGAGAACCGAGTTCTGCTAGCATTGAGTTGTCACCTGTGTACAGATTGGGATAATGGTGTATGTGTGCTGTGTGTCACGAACTGACGAAATTAGGAGAGCTCTTGGCTGACCCATGTCAGTAAGTCCCTAAGGTGTGCTCATATGTTAGGGGGCAAGCGATGTTATATGGGGGGGGTGAGTTATAACAGGGGCAAGCGATGTTATATTGGGGGAGAAGTGATGTTATATTAGGGGGGAAGCGATGTTATATCAAGTGACAAGCGATGTTATTTTGGAAGGGAAGCGATGTTACATTAGGGGAAGCTTTATTGTTTAGAAATCGTGACGTTAATTTTATGTTACTTTTAGATACAAAGTTTTATCAATGGAAATCATTTAGATTCATCGACCAATCAAGAGAATCAAGCCTTTTGTGATTGCCAAACCATTGTAACTATTGCTAGTATTATTCAACAAAGCCAAGATTTGTATTAGTCAATTAAGCCTAAACGTATTACTCAAATAAGCTGAAACTATTATTACTCAAAAAAGCCAAAAATTGATAATATATTTGTAAATAAAATTGAGAATCTCGTGAGAGGTGCGTGGAAAAAAAAAGGGGGGGGGGGTTAGTTAAAATTATGTTTAAAATAAGATATTTGGTTAAAAGAGGAGAGGGGGGGGAGGTAGTTAAAATTATTTTATATGTTTTACTAAATTGGTTAAAAAAAACTATTTAAAATTGTCTTAATGTTCCGTTAATTCACCAGTTCGCTGTCCAATATGACGTCACAACACCTTTTTGATGATGGGGGTTATCAGATGAAATGGTGGTGGGGGGGTATAGTGAAATAGAGTTATCAGGCTTGTCCTGGCTGGCCAATCGCAATAGCCAGTGTGTCGCGCGGCTGTTATGACAGTGTCTGGGGCTGCTACTGGTACTTTGTGACGTGCACTTTCCGTGTGGATTCCATGAAATGTCAGCTCAAAGTTTCTTGTCCTGATTGGTTACTTCCAACAACTAAGAGTCGAGCGACCAGACTTTCATATAACTCACTGTTCTTTTTTTAATAAAATCTTGAGCTTCCAGAATCGTAAGAGTGCTTCCAGAATCGTGAGAGTGCTTCCAGAATTGTGAGAGTGCTTCCAGAATCGTGAGAGTGCTTCCAGAATCGTGATAATTCTTCCAGTGAAGGTGAGTTAAATAATAATTTCTGTAAAATATGAAAACAATTTTCCCCAAGGTCATTAGCGTATAAAGAGCGGGGCGGGGTGGGGGTGGTTAGAGGGTAGGTCTATCCCCCCCCCCCAATATGCAGCAAAGTCAAGGAACACCCTGGGCGTCACAAACTCTATCTTCTCTGCGGCCCAGGATTTGCCCGATGGGTGGGTTACCTGTCGCCCGGTTCGTAGGTCAACTGTCGCCCGGTTGGTAGGTCAACTGTTGATGGACATGAGTCGTTATTATTTACAAATTGCTGGACAGCGCCTCTATTCTTCTGTGTTATCTAAAAAGTGGGAAATATAAGTAGGAACTATACGTAGTAATTATACGTGGGAATTATAAGTGGGAAACAAAAGTAGGTAATATGAGTTGGAAATATAAGTGTTAAATATAATTTGGAATTATAAGTTGGAAATATAAGTGTGAAGATGTGTTGTAAAAAAATATAGTTATTGTTATTAGTGTGACCAGTGTAAAATATGGGATAAGCGTAACAAACACATTACTTGAGAAATAAAATGTGACATGTTGTGTTGTACAATACCGTAAATAGCTCTTGTCTATTTTGTGCAACAGTTTGGAAAACACTCCATTAAGAATTGACTGCCAAAAACCATTGCCAGCCCTGTCTCGTACAACCACTGCTAGCCCTTTCTCCCACAACCACTGCCAGCCCTGTCTCCCACAACCACTGCCAGCCCAGTCTCCCACAACCACTGCAATCCCTGTCTCCCACAACCACTGCCAGCCCTTTCTCGTACAACCACTGCTAGCCCTTTCTCCCACAACCACTGCCAGCCCTGTCTCCCACAACCACTGCCAGCCCAGTCTCCCACAACCACTGCAAGCCCTGTCTCCCACAACCACTGCCAGCCCTGTCTCCCACAACCACTGCTAGCCCTTTCTCCCACAACCACTGCCAGCCCTGTCTCCCACAACCACTGCCAGCCCTGTCTCCCACAACCACTGCCAGCCCTGTCTCTCACAACCACAAATTAGTTTTTGTCACTAAAAGATTGTATTTTTATTTTGATAACCCCTCCACCAAAAACACCCAAACCACCAGACCAACCCCCACCCCAAGCATTTCAACCTGTCAGAGATCCTACACGCTGTCACGTATACGGGCATAGACTTAATTCCTAACATGCGTGTCCCATTGGCTGCAGTTTAGTTGGTGCGCAAGATAACATCACAGCGTCATATATATATATATATCATGTTGATCTTTGTTTTCACGTTTGTTGTTTTGTATTTTCCTGGTCTATTGTTAAAGTAAATGCTCCTATCTTTAATGTTATGCAGTTGTCTGGTTTATTGTTAAAGTAAATGCTCCTATCTTTAATGTTATGCAGTTGTCTGGTTTATTGTTAAAGTAAATGCTCCTATCTTCAATGTTATGCAGTTGTCTGGTTTATTGTTAAAGTAAATGCCCCTATCTTTAATGTTATGCAGTTGTCTGGTTTATTGTTAAAGTAAATGCCCCTATCTTCAATGTTATGCATTTCTCTGGCCTATTGTGGTAGAAAATGCCCCTTTCTTCGGTGCGAAACCATCAAATAGGATACATTAATTCATATGTTTGTTTCATTACCTCCCTTTGAATGAGACCATGTTCAGCTAGATCTTGATTCGCATAGCAGCAGACGCAGGTGTGTACAAGTCTTACTGGTTCTACCAATAAAATTGATTCAAATCCAAACTCACAAAAATAAATAGTCTTAACTAAGTGCTTGTGTGTGTGTGTTTGGCTGTTAGGTAGCGTAGAGGAAATGTCTTTTTAAGAAACCATTGATTTGGAGCATCAATGTCATGTGACATACACATGTAAATTCCCATGCCACGTAAATTTCCGTCGATAGCTCTAGGATCAGGGAAAATCCAACTCTAAAGCCCTTTAGTATATCTTGAGATGTAGCCTGATGTTTAGCGATGTAGCCTAATCTCTTGTTTAGAGATGAAGTCTGGTGAATTGTTTAGATATTGAGTCACGTGCATTGTTTAGATATTGAGTCACGTGAATTGTTTAGCGATGTAGCCTAATCTCTTGTTTAGAGATGGAGTCTGGTGCATTGTTTAGATATTGAGTCACGTGAATTGTTTAGCGATGTAGCCTAATCTCTTGTTTAGAGATGGAGTCTGGTGCATTGTTTAGATATTGAGTCACGTGAATTAAGTTTTGTTTTCTAAATTAGTGACACTTGTAACAATATCTTTTGTAATGAAGATTTCGATTTACAAAATTCTTTTGATAAAAGAAAGACACTAAAGGTAATATCATCTTGAACTGATGGAGTTGATGAAAGTAATGAGAAAAGTTTTAGCTACATGGGATAACTGCGAAAAGAGGCCACCCATTCAAAGCCATTACAGAGAGGCCAGCCATTCAAAGCCATTATAGAGAGGCCAGCCATTCAAAACCATTACTGTGAGGCCACCCATTCAAAGCCATTACTGAGAGGCCACCCATTCAAAGCCATTACTGAGAGGCCACTCATTCAAAGCCATTACAGAGAGGCCAGCCATTCAAAGCCATTACAGAGAGGCCAGCCATTCAAAGCCATTATAGAGAGGCCAGCCATTCAAAGCCATTACAGAGAGGCCACCCATTCAAAGCCATTACAGAGAGGCCACCCATTCAAAGCCATTACAGAGAGGCCACCCATTCAAAGCCATTACAGATCTGAAACGGAAAACATGGCTGTTGTTACATTAAAGAAAATGGATGTAAACAAAAAAAGAAAATATGATTTTATGGTGTTGGAAGCACTCTGAGAAATGTTCCCTCATAAATCTTTCATGGTTACTTGTCCACTATTTAGCAATAACAATGTATGACATCACTTCCTTGGTTACTTGTCCACTATTTAGCCAATACATTGTATATGACATCACTTCCTCAGTTACTTGTCAACTGCTTAAGGATTACTTTGTATGACAACACTTCCTCAGTTACTTGTCCACTATTTAACGATTACATTGTATGACATCACTTCCTTAGTTACCTGTCCACTATTTAACGATTACATTGTATGACATCACTTCCTTAGTTACTTGTCCAATATTTAACAATACAAAGTATGGCCTCCTTTCAATTTTATTTCTAGGATTGAACCATGGAGGTTCCTGAAATTCGAATGTCCTTAGACTCATCACCATCCACCGATGAACAGCATCCTCATCACCACCATCACCACCATCACCATTTGACTAGGTTTACAGGGAAAGGTGCAGAGGCTTCTGGGAAACGGGTTGTTGTTGGCGTGGATGGTAGCGAACATTCGAACTATGCTTGTGATTGTAAGTACTTTTGTGGGTAGTCATTGCTTGTGATTGTAAGTACTTTTGTGGGTAGTCATTGCTTGTGATTGTAAGTACTTTTGTGGGTAGTCATTGCTTGTGATTGTAAGTACTTTTGTGGGTAGTCAATGCTTGTGATTGTAAGTACTTTTGTGGGTAGTCAATGCTTGTGATTGTAAGTACTTTTGTGGGTAGTCAATGCTTGTGATTGTAAGTACTTTTGTGGGTAGTCAATGCTTGTGATTGTAAGTACTTTTGTGGGTAGTCAATGCTTGTGATTGTAAGTACTTTTGTGGGTAGTCAATGCTTGTGATTGTAAGTACTTTTGTGGGTAGTCAATGCTTGTGATTGTAAGTACTTTTGTGGGTAGTCAATGCTTGTGATTGTAAGTACTTTTGTGGGTAGTCAATGCTTGTGATTGTAAGTACTTTTGTGGGTAGTCAATGCTTGTGATTGTAAGTACTTTTGTGGGTAGTCATTGCTTGTGATTGTAAGTACTTTTGTGGGTAGTCATTGCTTGTGATTGTAAGTACTTTTGTGGGTAGTCATTGCTTGTGATTGTAAGTACTTTTGTGGGTGGTCAATGCTTGTGATTGTAAGTACTTTTGTGGGTAGTCATTGCTTGTGATTGTAAGTACTTTTGTGGGTAGTCATTGCTTGTGATTGTAAGAACTTTTGTGGGTGGTTAATGCTTGTGATTGTAAGTACTTTTGTGGGTGGTTAATGCTTGTGATTGTAAGTACTTCTGTGGGTGGTTGATGCTTGTGATTGTAAGTACTTTTGTGGGTGGTCAATGCTTGTGATTGTAAGTACTTTTGTGGGTAGTCATTGCTTGTGATTGTAAGTACTTTTGTGGGTAGTCATTGCTTGTGATTGTAAGTACTTTTGTGGGTGGTTAATGCTTGTGATTGTAAGTACTTTTGTGGGTGGTTAATGCTTGTGATTGTAAGTACTTTTGTGGGTGGTTAATGCTTGTGATTGTAAGTACTTTTGTGGGTAGTCATTGCTTGTGATTTTAAGTACTTTTGTGGGTAGTCATTGCTTGTGATTGTAAGTACTTTTGTGGGTGTCAATGCTTGTGATTGTAAGTACTTTTGTGGGTAGTCAATGCTTGTGATTGTAAGTACTTTTGTGGGTAGTCATTGCTTGTGATTGTAAGTACTTTTGTGGGTAGTCATTGCTTGTGATTGTAAGTACTTTTGTGGGTGTCAATGCTTGTGATTTTAAGTACTTTTGTGGGTAGTTATTGCTTGTGATTTTAAGTACTTTTGTGGGTAGTCATTGCTTGTGATTGTAAGTACTTTTGTGGGTAGTCAATGCTTGTGATTGTAAGTACTTTTGTGGGTAGTCAATGCTTGTGATTGTAAGTACTTTTGTGGGTGTCAATGCTTGTGATTGTAAGTACTTTTGTGGGTAGTCATTGCTTGTGATTGTAAGTACTTTTGTGGGTGTCAATGCTTGTGATTGTAAGTACTTTTGTGGGTAGTCAATGCTTGTGATTGTAAGTACTTTTGTGGGTAGTCAATGCTTGTGATTGTAAGTACTTTTGTGGGTAGTCAATGCTTGTGATTGTAAGTACTTTTGTGGGTAGTCAATGCTTGTGATTGTAAGTACTTTTGTGGGTAGTCAATGCTTGTGATTGTAAGTACTTTTGTGGGTAGTCAATGCTTGTGATTGTAAGTACTTTTGTGGGTAGTCAATGCTTGTGATTGTAAGTACTTTTGTGGGTAGTCAATGCTTGTGATTGTAAGTACTTTTGTGGGTAGTCAATGCTTGTGATTGTAAGTACTTTTGTGGGTAGTCAATGCTTGTGATTGTAAGTACTTTTGTGGGTAGTCAATGCTTGTGATTGTAAGTACTTTTGTGGGTAGTCAATGCTTGTGATTGTAAGTACTTTTGTGGGTAGTCAATGCTTGTGATTGTAAGTACTTTTGTGGGTAGTCAATGCTTGTGATTGTAAGTACTTTTGTGGGTAGTCAATGCTTGTGATTGTAAGTACTTTTGTGGGTAGTCATTGCTTGTGATTGTAAGTACTTTTGTGGGTAGTCATTGCTTGTGATTGTAAGTACTTTTGTGGGTAGTCATTGCTTGTGATTGTAAGTACTTTTGTGGGTGGTCAATGCTTGTGATTGTAAGTACTTTTGTGGGTGGTCAATGCTTGTGATTGTAAGTACTTTTGTGGGTGGTCAATGCTTGTGATTGTAAGTACTTTGTGGGTACCTTATAATGTTTTCGATTTTTAGTACATTTTTGTGTACTTTATGATTGTGATTGTAATTATTTTTATGGGTACTCTATGCTTCTGATTGGAAGTACTATTGTGAGTACTTGATAATGCTTGTAATTTTAAGTACCCTTTTGAGTCTTGTATGGTATTTAACATAACATTAAAGAGAGTTATAAAAGGCATACATATTGACACCCTAGCCACAATAACAGGATATTTTCTGAGGGAGACCCAAGATCCACTACCAATGGGCACTCTCTACAACCAACTCCTTCAATATCTTGCATAGCACTGCTAGGGAAAAAGTATTAAAGACGTATCAAAATCCTTTATTGAATTAGAAGATGCATCACTACAAGCAGGGCTGGAATTTAACAACCAAAACACAAAACCGTGACCATGATAAGAGAAGAAGAGACCGATGAAGCAATTAAAATTAGAAACCAGACTTTTGAAAAAGTAAATCAATTTTTAAAAAAGAACTAGAATGAAAGAAATGAATTACTATTAGAAATAAAAGAAAGAATATCAGCCAGAAACAGGGGCATTCTTCAGTAGTCAGAAAATATTGAATAACATGTAAAAACATTAAAAGAAAAATAAATAAATCAGACCAATTGTAACATGCGCAAGTGAAACTTGGACCCTTACGAAAACGGCAGAAAACCTACTAGACACATGGGAGAGGAAAAATCTCCGGAAAATATATGGACCAACAAAGAATGAATATGGATGGAGAATACGAACCAAGCAGGATTTGTACAGTCTATATCACGATCTCACGCTAGCAGAAATAAAAAGGGGCAGGCTACGCTGGACAGGACACTTAGAGAGAATGATAAATGAAAGAGGAGTGAAGAGGGTGCCCCACCAATACCCCAGAGGAAAACGGCTCAAAGGCAGACCTAGGCTTAGATACATGGATGATGTGGAGAGGAATCTAAGCATGGAAAATAAAAGCATCGGTTAGGTCTGAGTGGAAGGAAGAGGAGAGGCAGGCCACTGCCGTACATTGGCTGTAGCGCCACAGTGATGGATTGTTTTTTCACTACAAGGTATTTCAATAAGGTATTTTTACTCTTTAAAAGGAAATTTAAAAAGAGTATTAACACTCTATGGTATGTTATTTCAAGAAGGTATTGTTCGTCTGTTACAGGGTATTTCAAGCATCTCTGGAGCAGTGATGACTATGTTGTCTTGTTGAACTGTCCAGACTTACATGACGTGGTCAAAAATCAGTGGGGCGCAGGTAAGTGTCAAGGCAGGTGTGTTGCTCTTGCTGTTGGATGTGAAGGCAGGGGTGTTTCATTGAGTGGTCAATCGCTCTGCTGTACGAAATATCTATCTTTTGGGTTTAACTTTTGTTTTCACAAGAATTAGACCTTTAAATTTTAAACGTTTAAGGGGCAAATCATCTAAAATATGAATAGGTTTATTTCCCCCTAATAATAAAAATACGTTAGAGTAAAAACGATGAATTTCTAAGAAGATACCTAGTCAACCATGCGGGAAAAAACTGACACTGGGTGTGACGTCTGAGGCGCCCTCACGCCAGCTCCACACTGACACTGGGTGTGACGTCTGAGGCGCCCTCACGCCAGGTCCACACTGACACTGGGTGTGACGTCTGAGGCGCCCTTACGCCAGCTCCACACATCTCTTCAGTGAATCATGACTGCGTCAAGGCTCAGCTATTTGTAACTAATTTTGAAAGGGTGGTTTGCCTGGTTCTAAGACTGCCTGAAGGGGTGGTTTGCCTGGTTCTAAGACTGCCTGAAGGAGTGGTTTGCCTGGTTCTAAGACTGCCTGAAGGGGTGGTTTGCCTGGTTCTAATCTGTCTGAAAATTGTGTTTGATTCGTTCCATCTCCAGGCAAGTATGTGTTTGACAGAGAAGTGGTGGATCTCAAACTTAAGGAAGAAGAGGAACAACTACATCATGAACTGGAGAAGTTCAAGGAAATTCTTGTACATCATTCGGTAACACTAACATTAATATTTGTACATACAGTTCCAGTGAAGAAATGATTATACAAAGTTCCCGAACTTCTGTTATTCAATTTAACCACAACCGCTAAAAATCATTATCCTAAACTCACATATCATTATGCTAAATTTAAATATCATAATTCTAAGCTCATATATCATGATACTGAATTCACATATAATTATCCTAAACTCACACATCATTATTCTAAACTCATATGTCGTTATCCTAAACACACATATCATTATTCTAAACTCATATATCATTATCCTAAACTCACATATCAGTATCCTAAACTCATATGTTTGTTATCCTAAACTCACATATCATTATTTTAAATTCATTTATCCCTATCATATACTTACATATCAATATCCTCAGCTCACATATCATTTTCTTAAACTCACATATCATTATCCTAAACTCACTTATCATTATACTAAACTCACATATCATTATTCTAATCTCATATATCATTATCTGAAACTCACATATAATTATTCTAAACTCACTTATCAATATCCTAAAATCACATATCATTATTCTAAACTAATATATCATTATCCTAAACTCACATATCAGTATCCTAAATTCACATATCATTATCCTTAACTCACATATCATTATCCTAAACTCATATGTCGTTATGCTAAACTCACATATCATTATCCTAAACTCATATGTCATTATCATAAACTCACATATGATTATTTTAAAACTCATTTATCCCTATCCTTTACTCACATATCAATATACTAAACTCACATATCATTTTCTTAAACTCATATATCATTTTCCTAAACTCACATATCATTATTCTTAACTCATATGTCGTTATCTTAAACTCACATATTATCCTAAACTCATATATCACTATCCTAAGCTCACATATCATTGTCCTTAACTCACATATCATTCTCCTTAACACACATATCATTGTCCTTAACTGACACACCTTTCTGTTGCTCAAGGCCCATGGCAAGGTACGGGCCATTTCTGCCAAGAGCCCAGGAGACGCCATCTTGAAAACAGCAGAGGAGGAATCATGTGACCTGATTGTGATTGGATGCCGTGGTCGGAGCGCTCTGAGGCGGACGATCCTTGGGACAGTCAGCGACTACATCGTGCACCACGCCAACGTACCCGTGAGCACTGGTTGATCTGTCACGTCTAGGTTGACTGTGTGTGTGTGTTGACAGTTGGATATTTCAGGGCGTTGACCCCCGTCGTCATAGCGTCAATCCATCCAGGGGGGGGGGGTTGCCTGTTTTGTCGTCATAGCGTCAATCCATCCAGGGGGGGGGGTTGCCTGTTTTGTCCGGGGGGATGGGGCGCCTGTTTGGGTCTGGTTTTTATATTGTGTTTTTTTTTTAATTTGACTTTATCTTTATTTTCATTTTGGGTGTGTGGGTTTGTGTATAGGCTGGCGTGTAGGTTAGTAATGTAGGTTGGTGTTTAAATTGGTTTGTAAGCGGATGTTCTGGTTATTGTGTAGTTTGGTTTGTAGGTTGGTGTGTAGGCTGGTTTGTAGGCTGGTGTGTAGGTTGGTTTGTAAGCTGATGTTTAGGTTGGTGTGTAGGTTGTTTTGTAAGTTGGTGTGTAGGTTGGTTTGTAAGCTGATGTGTGGGTTGGTGCATAGGTTGTTGTGTAGGTTGGTGCATAGGTTGTTGTGTAGGTTGGTGCGTAGGTTGTGTAGTTTCTTCAAAAAGACCGTCTTCGTAACAGGCTAATGAGAAGCAATTAAAATCTGGAACTCTATAATCCCCCTTAACCGATGTTGGGCTCAAGGATACCCACATGTATGCTTTGAATGTTTTATGAGAATATCTAATTTATTGACTTTCTTGTGAGCTAATCGATAAAATAGACAAATATATTCTTAATATAGGGATAAACAGCGACATGGTCAAAGATTACGTCGTAAGGAAAAATGTTGAAGATTGGGTGAGTCTATGAGAGAGTGAACGAGACCAGGTCAAACATTAGAAATAATTAAAAAAATGGCCGCCAAATCAGAGAATAAAAAAAAAACCTGTCTTCTGTTAAGGGCCCAGGATCAACCTATTGATCATTCTGGCTCCTTTGTATGTAGAGGCATTTGCAACTAGTACACGAAATATAGACTAGTGGCAAACGTCAGTGCTAAAATGTATGTTGATTGTAGTCTGTATGTTGATTGTAAACTAGCCTGCTTGTTGATTGTAATCAAGTCTGTATGTTGATTGTAACCAAGTCTGTATGTTGATTGTAAACTAGCCTGCATGTTGATTGTAATCAAGTCTGTATGTTGATTGTAACCAAGTCTGTATGTTGATTGTAAACTAGTATGTATGGTGATTGTAACCTAGTCTGTATTTATTCTTTAGGTTGTTGTCTGCCGACATAAGACAAGCCGCAGGAAGTCCAGTTCCATCGTCCCTCCAAATCCTGAAGAGCTTCAGACTGGCGGGAAATAGTTTTGTTCTGAGCATGGGCATCAAAGCTGTTCTCTTGATAGTGCTGTACTTATTGTGTGGCATCAAAGCTGTTCTCTTGATAGTGCTGTAGTTATTGTGTGGCATCAAAGCTGTTCTTTTGATAGTGCTGTAGTTATTGTGTGGTATCAAAGCTGTTCTCTTGATAGTGCTGTAGTTATTGTGTGGCATCAAAGCTGTTCTCTTGATGGTGCTGTACTTATTGTGTGGCATCAAAGCTGTTCTCTTATTAGTGCTGTACTTATTGTGTGGCATCAAAGCTGTTCTCTTGATAGTGCTGTAGTTATTGTGTGGCATCAAAGCTGTTCTCTTGATAGTGCTGTAGTTATTGTGTGGCATCAAATCTGTTCTCTTGATAGTGCTGTAGTTATTGTGTGGCATCAAAGCTGTTCTCTTGATAGTGCTGTAGTTATTGTGTGGCATCAAAGTTGTTCTCTTGATAGTGCTGTAGTTATTGTGAGACATCAAAGCTGTTCTCTTGATAGTGCTATAGTTATTGTGTGGCATAAAAGCTGTTCTCTTGATAGTGCTGTACTTATTGTGTGGCATCAAAGCTGTTCTCTTGATAGTGCTGTTATTATTGTGTGGCATCAAAGCTGTTCTCTTGATAGTGCTGTAGTTATTTTGTGGCATCAAAGCTGTTCTTTTGATAGTGCTGTACTTATTGTGTGGCATCAAAGCTGTTCTCTTGATAGTGCTGTACATTTTGTGTGGCATCAAAGCTGTTCTCTTGATAGTGCTGTTCTTATTGTGTGGCACCAAAGCTGTTCTCTTGTTAGTGTCGTAGTTATTGTGTGGCATCAAAGCTGTTCTCTTGATAGTGCTGTACTTATTGTGTAGCATGAAAGCTGTTCTCTTGTTTGTGTCGTAGTTATTGTGTGGCATCAAAGCTGTTCTCTTGATAGTGCTGTACTTATTGTGTGGCATCAAATCTGTTCTCTTGATAGTGCTGTAGTTATTGTGTGGCATCAAAGCTGTTCTCTTGTTAGTGTCGTACTTATTGTGTAGCATGAAAGCTGTTCTCTTGTTTGTGTCGTAGTTATTGTGTGGCATCAAAGCTGTTCTCTTGATAGTGCTGTACTTATGTGTGGCATCAAATCTGTTCTCTTGATAGTGCTGTAGTTATTATGTGGCATCAAAGCTGTTCTCTTGTTAGTGTCGTAGTTATTGTGTGGCATCAAAGCTGTTCTCTTGATAGTGCTGTACTTATTGTGTGGCATATTCTTCTCTTCATATTGATAAACAAATTGGTGTATTTATTTCTTTGACGTTTATGACATTATTTATTTAGTAGTGAGATTTCATATTGATGCCGATAGTAGTTATAGTATAGCTATGTACGGATAAATATGTCCGCTTTTCAAATAAGGTTTATTTCTTAGTTGAACTCAGAGATTCAAATTTTATCTGTTTTAAAAAAAAATATTTTTTTTTTAAAGCTAAAAGCTTTGTATCAACAAGGCAATGGATAATTAAATATAGCTATGGAGGGAAAAGCACTCAAAAATTATTGAAATTAATTTTTCTTCGAAATCTTTTTTCTTCCAAATGTCATTCTACGAACAGAATGTGCTAGCTGGAGAGCTTGTCGGAAATATTTTACTGGTAACCCTGAGTGTCACGTCGACTGCAACAAAACTATGTTTTGGATTCTGTAAAAAAAAAGTCATTTCCTTGTTGAATCGTCTATTTTGATGAAATAATCTTTTTAAATTAAAAAAAAAAAATACTGGTAGGTATGAGAAATATATCAGGACAGATAGTACAATTGTTAGTTTTCTACCAATGCACAATATATCAGCATTGCTCGTATAAATATCATTATTTTCCTTATAATATCTGTATGTCTCGTCGTATGTCAAATGACTTTATTGGTTCAGTGCATTTTAAAGTCATCATTCGTATAATCAGATCATCTTATTTTTGCTTATTTCATCTTATGACCAACGTTATCAATTAAATAAAAATAATAAATCAATATTCGATTCATTTCTTTCCATTTGAATTATTAAAATATGCAATTTGTGACGTATGCAATATCGTCCTGTTACATTTCGTAGCTACTGTTATAATACTATTTATAATAATTTTTTTTTACTTAGTTTTGTTACAATTGTTAATAAGTGATTACATGCAGATTCTACTCATCTTTTGAAATGATTAGCTTAATCCTATCTTGAGCTCAGCTCTATCTGCAATGGGTATCAGGACATGTCAAATCAATATTTCATTGATCAGCTTGTGTAAAAGGTCAATCAGCCCTAAACCTCAACATCGTTACATGCATAAATTATTTCTAGAGTTAGTTTTGAAGAAGACAAACCCGTCTCAGCGATCATAAACAACCCTTAACCCTAACCCTAACCAAAAGCCTAACCCTAACCCTAACCCCTAACCCTAAACCAAACCATAACCCTAACCCTAACCGAAACCCTAACCCAAACCCTAACCCTAACCCAAACCCTAACCCTAACCCATACCCAAATCCAAACCCTGACCCTAACCCAAACCCTAACCCGTCTCAGCAATCATAAAGGAAACAACTCCTAAAAACAAAGTTTTTCTCATAAATCCTTTATGAAACATTGAGCAATAAATGGGGGGGGGGCCTGAAAATTTGACACAACCTGCATGCAAGTAACGCATTTAATAATTATCACAATCTGTTCCTCCCACCACCACCGCCCCTCCCTCCCAAGGCGCGCAACCACAAATTGTTTTCTGATCCCCCACCCGCTTTCAATACTTTGACGCCCCAGATTTCTTTCACCAACTGTCAGAAAATCAAAAGAAAATATTACGCATCAAAAACACTTGCGATTTTTATTTTTAAAGAATTTTATTTAGCGCGGTTAACTGGAATTTTATTTTTAAAGAATTTTATTTAGCGCGGTTAACTGGAATTTTATTTCCTGAAATCTGTGGCATCACATTTCCTTCCTTACAAAGCAGGAATAACTTATTAGTGGGGGTTGGGCTGGTGCTGATTGTTGTCTTAATGTGGTGTCATTGGCAACGTGTCCATGTGCCAAGTTTCAGCTCAATGGCTGGACGAAAAGTTGGTCAGTTAGCCGTCTGAAGATTTCGCTAGCAAACCACGAATTAACGCGAATTTAATAAAAAGGATTTAAAAATAAGTCTCAGAAATCAAACGGCAGCTTTCTTGGACAACTCATGCTACCTCCAGGTCCGTCTACCGAAGTTTATCCTGTGATTCTTCATTTTTCTCGAGTGTGGTCGGATGTCAATCGGGGGAGCAAGAGGCTATGTAGCAGGAGGCTGTGTAGCAAGAGGCTGTGTAGCAGGGGACTGTGTAGCACGAGGCTGTGTTATAGCAGGAGGCTGTGTAGCAGGAGGCTGTGTGGCAAGAGGCTGTGTAGCAGGGGACTGTGTAGCAGGGGACTGTGTAGCAGCAGGCTGTGTAGCAGGGGACTGTGTAGCAGGGGGCTGTGTAGCAGGTAACTGTGTAGCAGGGGACTGTGTAGCAGCAGGCTGTGTAGCAGGAGACTGTGGAGCAGGAGGCTGTGTTATTGCAGGAGGCTGTGTTGCAGGAGGCTGTGTAGTGTGGGGCAAGAGGCTGTGTAGCAGGGGACTGTGGAGCAGGGGACTGTGTAGCAGCAGGCGGTGTAGCAGGGGACTGTGTAGGAGGGGCTATGTAGCAGGTAACGGTGTAGCAGGGGACTGTGTAGCAGCAGGCTGTGTAGCAGGGGACTGTGTAGCAAGAGGTTGTGTTATTGCAGGAAGTTGTGTTGCAGGAGGCTGTGTAGCAAGAGGCTGTGTAGCAGGGGACTGTGTAGCTGCAGGCTGTGTAGCAGGGGGCTGTGTAGCAGGGGACTGTGTTGCAGGGGACTGTGTAGCAGCAGGCTATGTAGCAGGGAACTGTGTAGCAGGGGACTGTGTAGCAAGAGGCTGTGTTATAGCAGGAGGCTGTGTTGCAAGAGGCTGTGTAGCAATAGGCTGTGTAGCAGGGGACTGTGTAGCAGCAGGCTGTGTAGCAGGGGACTGTGTAGCAGGGGACTGTGTAGCAGCAGGCTGTGTAGCAGGGGACTGTGTAGCAGGGGGCTGTGTTATTGCAGGAGACTGTGTTGCAGGAGGCTGTGTAGCAAGAGGCTGTGTAGCAGGGGACTGTGTAGCAGCAGGCTGTGTAGCAGGGGACTGTGTAGCAGGGGGCTGTGTAGCAAGAGGCGGTGTTATAGCAGGAGGCTGTGTTGCAAGAGGCTGTGTAGCAATAGGCTGTGTAGCAGGGGACTGTGTAGCAG